ATTGAATGATGTAATAATATCATTGGTCTTAAAGCTCTAAGACTCAGAAAACACTGTAGAAAAAGAAACATCAGCTTTCAAACAGTTGTATTAAAAAAAAAAAAAGAAAGAAAGAAAAAAAAGTACCCATTTAAAGAGCTAAATTGATTGCTTAGATAAAACCCCTCTTCTGAGAAGCTACAAAGGTGGTGTCAATCAAACAAGAGTAGGTAGAATGAAAAAAACTCGATCTAAAATGTTAATGAAAATGTATCTACTGCAATGAGAAAATACAGTAACCATCATTAGTGCTTAACTCCGGATTGAACAAGTTCTCTCATGCTCACACTCTTCTGAGGATTAAGGTGATAATGGGCACTATCTGTTAAGTGAAGTAATTGTAATGTACCACACTAAAGTGCACAATGCCATTCACGTTGATTTGCAGTTATTAGCATTTAGTAGTAAATGGACCTTGGTAAGCAGGTGGTTAATCTTTCCCTTTCATTATGATCTGTGTGATGTGACAAGAGGGAATGTTATCATAATTTAAAGACAACAAGGATTATGTGAATGATAGCTGCTTGAAGGGCCTTGAGAAACCTCTTTATCCTAAAAAGAAAACAGAAGTTCCTAAAAGCTCTAATACCTGCACATCCATCACTCACTATCGGATAATACACCACCCACTTGTAAGGAGCCTTATGTGTGTTATAAGTAACAGAAAGATTTAAGTTGATTATACGTTGCTTCAGTTTACACTTTATCGAGGATGATTTTGTGTGTCAGAGAATCCAAGAATTTTAACCAGTTGTTAGACACAATGAAATCTGAAACCCCAGTTCTCACAGTTTATAGTTTTAAGCTCTGTTAAAAATAATACACATATGGCGATTATGATTTCACTTAAGTTAGAATGCTTCAACCATTCATTGTTTGTTATGTGACAGTCATTTGATTTGGGCTCAATTTTGAATGCTCTTTTTACCCTTGAACAATGTTATTGTCATTGATGTCAGATCTGGTTTTCGGGTTTGAAAACAATACCAAAAGCAGTCACTTATCCAGACAAGCATTCACTGCATGACAAATGCTTCCAAAATTTCCTGGTTTTCTGTATTGATTATCTTCGTCATTATCACTGTTAGCAATCTGGTACTGGTATAGGAAAACCCCCAAAAGCAAAATTTTATATTAGTTAAAAGGAGTAACCCAAGATGGTATACTCCTAATCCTGTGTCTAAGCAATGCTTTCCATTTTGCTGGTGAATAAGAAAGATATTTAAATGATATTTTAGAGTTAACAACTACCAGTGTTCTTAACTCTACAGAATCGGACAATTTCCTCTCAGAAGAAAAAGAAAACAATAATGGTTTAGACTTCCACAGGTTATTCTTAAATTTGGAAATTTTGGTAAGATGAGGACATGAAAGAAAAGGGGAGGAGGGGAAGAAAGCAATGAAACAACAGTTTGCAATGGTAAATAAATGGAGAATGAGCAAATAATAATAAGATTCAGATTGACATAATCCCTAAGCAAAATCATGGGAAAAATGACAAAAAAAAAAAAAAAAAAAAATGTTATAAAGGGTGCAAAAGAAAAACAATTGAAGATTAATATACAATGTCAGCCAACACAGCTTTATAGCTCCATTTCTTGGTCCTACCTGTCTTCTCTTGATGAGAACAAAATATGGATAAGAAAATTCATTATATGCTGAGAAGTTATAGCTACTGTGAAGTGTTTCGTGACTTTTGTGACTCATAAAATTAGTGGGATATGTCATCGTAATCGCTGAGTGAAGTACCATGTGAGCACAGTTGGGGGATGGAGTGAACAACAAACGACTAATGAATAATACAGCATACAATACAAACATTTTTTAATGAGTCTTTCATTAATTTAGCTGAGCAACTCTCACAGTATCACACACTCTGGCTTTGAACTTCTCTCTCCTTTCCCAGTCAGTCTACCAGCATTGTTAGTTACTGGGAGGTCTTTTTTTTTTTTTCCTTTTTAAATTCTGTTTAAAGAGACATCAGCCCATGTCAGATACATGCAACAGTATTCAGATGTCTCCCATACAGTTTCATAACTAGTCTACTCTACCAAAGTTAGCAAAATATATTGCAGATTTTTCACTACTTAAGAATCTCCTGGTGTCAGAAGTTACTCTACCTTCTTATTGTTGGCCAATAATACTTATAAATTAAAATCAAAGTTGTTTTTTCTACAGATCTGATGAAGCTTCTAACTTTTCAGTTTTTCTATTCAGAGTTTTATTTTCTAGATTTGCTTTATTCTTTTCAGCACATCATTCAGAGGTTATTTATAGAACTCTGGTGTATGGCAGCAGTTTTCTTCAACATCTAAATTCAAGACAGCTGTTGCTTAGTATGAACCCTCTATACAACATACAACTTGCATGTCCCAGACCCACTGCAAAGCACAGGTCCACAAGTCCTCTGTACTCACTGCAGAGTAAGACCTTTCAAGTAAATATTATGCCCTTTCCGGTAATCGTTTTATAAACATGACATTAAAAATCTATGTAAACTCTCTCAATGACAAGATAAGCACCACCTTAGCACTAGGAGAATGATTTCAGAGTCTGTTTTTCTCAGCTGCTAATTTAAAAAGAAAATAAATGTTTTATTTCTAGGGGAGCCTGGCTCACTTCAGCTCCTGGCTTTCATTTATCTTTTTTTTTTTTTTTTTTGTAAATGAAGAAGCATTTAGTGTCAGATTTTTTTTCATTTTATTAAATGTTCTTAACTATCTCCTGATTAATGAGATGCATGAATTTGTCAAATCTCTCACTGCTAGAGATTGGATATATAAAAAGTAACAACATTAAGCTGTTATATAGTAAATGTAGGAATTATGTTTTCACAACACATTCTCTTATAATCAGAATTGATCATTCTCTTTCATATAATAAAACCAGTTATAGCAGCACTCTTCAAGTACCACTATATAAGACCTAAGGTTCTGTCCATTGTAAGATCAGTCACTAGGGTTTTATATCTCAGCTCTTTTTCAGTCACCTGGGGTTAAACTTGGAATAAAACTTGTCAACCCACATGCAGGTTCCATATTAAAAAATTAAGATAAAAATATAGGGGCAAGGGAGAATTAATCAACAGAGCACCACAACTTTAACAGGTCAAATCTGGAAGAATCTAAATGTCTGATAACATGGGAAAAACACAACCCAAGCTCAGTTCTAGGATAGATGTTTGTCTTTATATAGATATGCAGCAGAACTCCCTTATCATTAAATCTGTTATTCTATCACACAACAAATTTACCCTAATTCAGAATTCCTTTGATACTAGGAATTGCTCTATATGGAAACAATTAAGCTACTAGCTGGAGCAATTTAAGGCAGTCCTGAGAGTGATCTCAGCAGCATCAAGGGCTACAAGACTGCTTTTGCTCAAAAGTACATTGAGTCTGACATATTTGAAGAATCAGCCCACAGCCTACTGTTATCACAGGCTACTTTTATATGAATAAAGAATCTCGAGGGAAGTGAGAAGTTAATTATTTGTGCCCAAGTCACTATCCTGATAAATGCATTTTATTAGCAGTAATAGAGTATGATCACTTGTGGTCTGTGGAAATAACTTAACCAAAAAAAGGATTGTTAGGACACAAAGTTGCTCTCTGTATATGTTACCAAATTTTCAGTATTTGGTTTCCTCGTAAAGTTTTCAAAGGTTCATAGAAGCAGCACAAAGTGAACAACACAGTAAAAAGACCTTGGAAAAGAGAACCACATTTACTTTTTTTTTTTCCCCCCCCTTCAGAATTCTAGAAGTGATTAAATTAGGAGAGCTCTTATTGACAACAGGAAGGTATTTTACCCAGACATAAGAGAGTTCAGCCTAAGTCAAAATATATTTTGGAATTAGTTAAGCCTTTTACTGACTTGAAAAATTTTCTAAACAATTAGAGATACCATCTACTGAGTAAATAACTAAAAGGACTGCTTGTCTCCTTAATTTGTGAAATCAATTATGACAGATCTACCTCTATCAGTTTCCTCACTCTCATCCTTAATACTCAAATATTTTTTATGCCAGATCAAATTTTCTAAAGCACAGTTCCCTTCAGAATGCCTCAGATGCTCAAGAATAAGCTAGCTCTTTAGGAGGTAGCAATAAGCAGCTACAGCTCACAAAAGCAATGTGGTTAATTTTCACAATGCTGCATAAAACCACATTTGTGGTTAAATGGTCAGATGAACACATTGGCTTGGAAAAGTCTTGACCACCTCAAAATACAAGCACACCAGGCTGAACATTCGGCCCTTCCCTGAGCATTTGAAACCATATCAGTGAAGCCAGGTTATGAGCTCCTAAAGACATACACTGGCAACCCAAAGCTACTGAGAGTAGAAGAAGAATAAAAATATTCCAAATTTGAAGAGGGTTCTGGGTCATAGAATTGCCACCCAGCTAATAAGCAATCTTGGTGCAAGAAATTATGGTGTCCATATGTTTTCCCACTGTAAAGACACTACAGTAACGCCAAACTCCTGTAAAAAGTGCTTTGAGAATTACTGGTGGAAAAGGAACCCTCCCCCCCCAAAAAAAAAAATTATATTATTTTGAAATTAGATAAGATCACTTAAGATGTATTTGTTCTTTGTTGAGAAATTTGGAATTCTTGCTGTCTACTCTCAAATCTATGGCAACTGTTTTTGTTTTATTAGGAAGGTTAAGAGAATTTAAAATCTTTTGCACAATAACTGAGAGACACTGTATAGTGTCTGATTTTATTTCTCCCTAAACTCCTGGTGCTTTTAGAGGCATGAGACATTGGAGACTTGGCACTATAAGAAAAAGCTATAACAAAAAGGGGGGGTGCGGGAGCCTGTTGGATGGAAATCGGACTGCTTTGCTTTGGCTGCTGAAAGCAAGGTTCACAGCACCCTTCAGCTGAAGTTGTACTCCAGCAGAACACACTTCCCCAAAACACCAGTACTCACCGGATTGCTGACATGTCTTCACAAGGGGCACTTGAACAAGTATTCAGCAATATGCTTGTATGAGTTGAGTTTTGCATGTTTTTTAGATAGTCTAAGATAGGTCTGCTAAAAGAGAGCTGCTAAAACCATCCATTGATTTTGGGTGCCTAAATCAAGATGAGTTGGGGAAGATTTTCACATGCATTCAAATTGCCCCAAATAAAGTTTGTTTATTTGATGGTACTTCTTTATAGATCTTTACCACAGTTGAAGATTTTGGCAGGGAAAAGAACTGTTTCAAATACACGCAACCAGCAAGTTCCTTTACCTACACTGATATTACTACAGCTACACTATAATAGTTGTTTTGGCAGCCTAGCTCCAATCACTTTTGCATTAGAGTAAATCAGGAACAATTATACTGAAGTTAAAAGTGCTATACAGATATAAAATGCCTCTAAGATGTGAATCCAGACGTTTTATCCATTTCTGTAACACCAAAGAGAAAGAGATGGAAACAACTACAGCATGAAAATGTACAGAAAAAGTGGAAGGAAATAAAGAAGAATCAAAGAAAATTATGAACTTCAGGAAAAGATGTAAGGACTAAGTAGAATCTGAAGACTGGAGTGAATAAAAATACAACAGCTCTGTCCTATAATACTATATGAAGTAGCCGAGGAAGTCACCGTAGCTGGCTTGTTTATGCAGCAGATCTATTGCTCAATGTTAAGATCTGTGTAATTTGATTCCTAAAACAGAACAGGATTCAATAATAGCAACATACACATTTCAATTAACTCATTCATTTTTCCTCCTGAGCTATTGGCCGTAGGAAGTGAAGATGCTGATAGCATCTTCCCAGTCCTTAAATCACATAAACATACGGAACTATGAACCTGAACACTTTAATTTAAAGATTTCAGTAAGAAAATCTTAATTCCAAATGAGTTTCCAAAAGATATTTCATACGTTTTCACAAATTTTCTACATTTGCATACATTTTCTATTTTCTTGCTAGGAGAAGAGACTATATGCTTGGGGAACTTTGATTTAAGTATCTCCCTCCTTAGCTTTCTTTTCCTGTAAAGTACCTTCTCCTCACAGTTCAACAGTTATTAAAAACAATGAAAAGTGCATAGCACTGGGGCATCTAACAAACCAGCAACTAATCCTGCCCTCACAAAGCAAGGCCACAGTTCTGTCACATAGCAAGTGACAGAATTTTGAGGTGATGTGAGGAACATGGAGCTACTGCATGGAGGTAACACGACTATTCCATTTTGCATCAAATCTTAATGTTTCCATTACACATTGAAATTGTTTTCAAAACGAGAATGTGTGTGGCCCTATGAATAAGGAAGAATACAGTTTTGCTCAGCCCAATCACTGGCAAAGTCTAAAAAATGGTACCACACTCAAAACGTCCCAGAGATTTATGTATTCACTTGGGATTGGTAAAATGTTAACAGTTTGAAAGGGAAGAACACACAAGGTGTGAACTCCTCAGGGATCAGTGATTGTACCACATAACATGAAACATAACGTCTTGGTTATGCACAAATGCTGCAGTGAATTAAGAAGTTGTTTTTTGTTTGTTTTGTTGGTCTTTTTGATGTTACTTTGTGTTTTTGTTGTTGTTATTGTTTGTTTTTTAACTTCAGCTGTGCCTCAGCAGAGGCTTACATCTACTTTTCCGTCTTGGAAGAAGGAGGGAGGAAAGAGAAGGAAAAATAAAACAGAGTAAAGAGGCAATAAAAATATTTGTACCCTCATGTTTGTATTCATGCCATTTTTCAAGGACTAATCTTAGTGGCCAGCAAGCTAACTGCCTTACTTGTGTGGTCTAAATAACTCTCATGCTTCCTCACTAATTGCAGTCAGTTGATTATGATAGCAAAAATGTTAGACCAGAAATTGCATCTGTAAAATGGGTAATCACATAGACAATTTTAGGGGACACTGTCAAATAAATGTCCTTTTAATCATTGCAAACAATTATTTTTAATTCTTTGTAAAATTACTATCTCCGTGTTAATCTCTTAACTCCATAAAGACAGTGACTACCTATGGCTGTTACATCTTAAACTTCCTCTGAAGGGTGCCCCAAACCTTTCAAAATCAGGTCACAATTAAAAGTGACTCTGGTTAAGACAACAGTCTCAAATACTTTTCTGACTACTCTCTTAACCAGAAGTACTATTATGATTGTGCCCAGGTTGGATGAAGAGGTAGCTGCTCTTTGTGTACTGTAGTCTGTGTGAAGCTCCTCAGCAGAGCTGGACACCTTCTCATATCATAAAGCAAAAGGTCCTGCTACCAGATGAGGATGTTAACCCTAATCACCCCACTAAAGCCAGTGTTAGGAAGGAGCTATGCAAACAGTTGACCAACAGATGTTGGGTTATGATGACATTCTTCCACGTGCTGCAAAGACTGCACAGTCCACAGAGTAACTTGGGCTAGAGAGGAGGTCACGGCCTCACCTTCCTGTCCCACTGACCTGTGAAACAGACCCAGCACACCAAGATAATTTTCCTGCATCTTCCTGCACTAAGTGTGTAAAAGACATCTCTCTTTAACAGCAAGAGCTTGCATTGGCACACAGACTCCTTTCTCCATACACACTTATGTCTGAAGGAATACTACTGATACTTCCTATTACTTTCTCTCACCTTTTCTAACAAAAGGCCTACACTGACACTTTCTAAACAAAGCTACAGTGCATACTGCCTTCAGGGCACAGTGAAACTGGGTGTTTCTCAGTCCCACTTCCAGTTTAGAAGAGATCCGTGTGTCCACATGGTAGTTGGTACTCTGCAGCCATCCTTCCCTGTTCTTCTGGTGACTGCAGACAGAACTACAGCTCTCCCTTCTAGTCCTCTGTGTATACATCCCATCTCCTAGAAATACATTCAGTTCCATTAAACTTTTTCAAGGAATTTAGCGATTCTTTGAACTCTTTCCACTGTTTTTCCACCCCTAGAGTGGAACAGAAAAAACACTCTCCACTCTCCAAGTTATAAATGGGTTTAAAGAAGGAAAACTGTTGGCTTTATCTGGATAAAAACGCTCTGAGTTAGTAGCTGTCTTTTCCCTATAGGGGAAACACACTCTCCCCTAAGCTTCCTTACTGAGAGTCTGCCCAACATACAGCCATGCTTCAGAAAGAGAATAATGTGTTTTCATTTAAAAAATTACCTTATGGTTTTTGGCAGCTTCCTTAGCTTCTGAGCTGCAAACACGTCATTTCTTTCAGTGCAGAAGCTTCTTAGAGCTGTGTTTTTGATGACTTCTTTGTGAGAAATCAACAGCACACCATGTTGCTGTAAATCTGGGTCTAAAGCTTTGAGTCCATCTAAAATTACAAATAAAACAGAATTAGAGGATACAGCAATAACAAAATCCACAGACATGATTACCACATGTTTCCAGTTTGTAGGACAGACAGAGGAAGATATAGAACACAGCATGAATACAGAGCACAGCTATGACTGTGTCTACCCCATGGCTGTTCTCTTCCCATGCTACAGCCTTGCTTACACTGACAGAAATGAAAGGTCGAGTCTGTGTTCCATATGGCTAAAGTCTACCTGAGGATCTAGACTCCTCATGGCACAATCTACCATTGCACTGCACTGAGGAGAAACACAGCAGAAACAATAACCTGAAAATACAAATTCCAGAGCTTGTATGACAGTTGAAGAGACAGGGAAGAGAATAGATGGAAGGGTGTAAATAGAAATATGAAGATGCATATTCTGTATGAAAAGCTGGAATCCCAGCTCTCTGCACTTCATGAATATATCTTACACTGAAAGGACTTTGGGGGGTGAGGATGTTTGTTTTGGGGTGTATTTTGTTATTTTCTTGAGGTTTTTAAGAAAAGCAATTTTCTTATGGTTGTTTTATATTCTGTTTTCTGGGCAATAGCTAATAAAAACATGCCGAATACCTGGTTAAAATGCTGCACTCAGTCATCTGCATAAAACAGATGACTGCTGACAAAGTCCTGGAGCACATTCAAATATTATTAATGGCGCCAACATGCATCAGTGTTTCCACTTCTCCAATGATTAGAAGTAGATCTGAATTCTGGATGGGGAGGTTTTTGTTTTCTGAGTAGAAATACTTTTTTTCCTAATCAATGTAGAATGAAATGAAAGCTAAAAAGATGAAGTGCTGAAATCTATAGAGCAGTAATTCTAACTTTAGTCAGTGATGTATGAATACAAATCATAGTGGTTATTGGGAATAAAGCCTTTTTTTTTTGTTGTTTTTTTTGTTTTTTAATTCAGATGCTTTCCCGTTATGTTGTAGCTTAGAAAGGGGCATGCAAGCACATGGGAAAGAAGAGTCACAATTCTTAAAAGGTCAGCCTAATAAATCAGAATGGCTTTTGAAGTGCTGTATGAAAGCACACATTTGTGTGAAAACAATTACACATTCTTATTAGAGGGGCACACAAAAGGAAAAATCACAGGGGAAGAAAAAAGAAATCACTAAAACCTTTTGTATTTGTCTAAGACTTTAATTGAGAAACTGGAACAGATTTTATTAACTTTTTTTTTTTTTTTTTTTTTTCTCATAGTCTGTTTCTTCTTGTACCTGTTCCATTTCCAAGTTCCAAGTAGAAACAAAGGACCTTTTAGGTATTTAGCATGAGGGAACTACCCATCTCTAATTGTTACCAAAACACATTCGTCCACAGGCAAGGACACAAGAAATAGCAACAGTTCCCTTTCACTGAAGCAGTATAGGAACAAAGCATAGCTATATTCATGACACTTCAAAAAAAAAAATATATATATATATATATATATATAAAAGCTCTTCTTACTTTGTTTTATATAGCTTAGACTGTAAAAAGTTTACGTGAAAATAAAATTAATAGCTTGCACAGGTAGAATCTCTAAAACAGACACTGGGCAATGTTTTTAAAAGTAGCTAAAAATAAGGTTTACAAAAACACTACTGACAGACCCTTCTGCCTAATAATACAAATAAATATGTTGAGGGGCAGTTCAAAAACATTGAAGTTATATATCTATGATCAGAAGCACGAAACAAGGAACTTCTGAATACCCTACTTTTTTTTTTTTTTTTTTTTTTTCCCTCTCCAGGTGATGGCATACTGAAAATCTGTCCCTAAATTACAAAGAAACAAAGGAAGAAAGGTTTTTAGGAAGCTAAGTAAGCTTCTCATCCATTTTTTAAACCAATACTGGAATTATAAAGTTATTCGTACTCTTCCAAACCTGTATGCATTTATGAATTATTTCTTCATGGACTTGCTTCAACACTGAAAGTATTATGGATTATGTAAAGATTTAAAATCTTATACAGTAATAAATGATTTAAACTTGTATTTGAATTATATAGCGAATGCAATATTTCTTCTTAAATTCAAACTAAATAAAAAGCCATTTTTAAATGTGCTATTTAACCCCTTTTACTAGAGGTTCAAGTTTTGATTTCAAATAACAAGTATGAATCTAGAACAACTCATTTCACTGGTATTTATTAATTTTGCATCTCTAGCCATGTAACAGCACATTTTGCCAAGTAACTTGTAATACTACTAAAGTACAATAAACTTTCTGGTACAGACAATCCAACCATCATTTAGTTGTTATCTTAGCATACATTTTCATTCACCTTCTATAGCTGAGTTTTTTAAAGTAGATTATAAATAAGTCATAAATAAATGATAAAAATATAATTTATATTTTGCATAGTTTGAAACCGGGAGAGGGGTAAGAAGAGGCAGGCAACAGTGCATAAAATGTTCTACCTCTGGAGAATTTCTTTGAAAACACATAAAATCTGAAAGTATAAGTCTTCCTCTTGATACTCAATGACTTAGTTTATATAAGAGCAGCAAATAGGCAACAGACCTCCATCAATAAATTCACCATGCCACGGGAACTCTTAGCTTGTTCATCTCTGGGAAAGACCATTCTTGGCTACATTACAACCATGAGGCTACACATCATAGTGCTAAGGTTTTTAATACAATTTCTGGCAACAAGACTCCAGGAGATCAATAGCGCTGTTTCCTAGGCTCTAAAGCTGCTTTTAGTGATATACTGTATTGTCAATGTCCAATAAAATAAAATGCTGACGCTGTCTCTTCCACATAAGATTTGTCACTATGTTTTTCTTTTACCTTGTTGAGAAGAAAGTTTATGAATGGAAAACATGCACTGCAAGTATTTCAACCTGCCAGTCTGAAAGCAGACAGCAAACACAAAGACTAGTTCCATATAAAAACTACTCCCATTACATTAAAAATTTAAACTCTGACAGGCAGGGGTTCAATGCAAACAATACGTCCCATTGCCCATCATATTAGTCCCATCTTTGTAAGTCACTTTTAATTGGGTGGAGATCATGGTCCATATGATAAGCGTATACAAGAAAGAAAAAAATCCTGAATGATACAAAAAAGTGCATAAACTGCATTGGCTTTGAATTCAGGCTCATTACTGCATTTGCACCATAATGCAGAAACAGAGCTAACATTTTTTAAATATGAGTTTTAGGAATCTCAAAGCATCACAAGATAAATCTCTTCTTTAAAAATAAAAGCGCTCTTTATCTGAGTCATACATTCTAAAACAATTCTAGCAGAAGTGAAATGAGAGAATGTAAAACTGGTAGAAAGTGAATATACTTTTGGATATTAAAGCTTCCTTCAGAATTTAATCTAATCAGCTACCCATACAGCCCAGGTTTGCTTTTGAAAAATAATGATAAGTGTTGGAAGATGTTGATTTCTCCTACCCCTGGCCTGCCTGCAATGCAGAACAGTGGGAGTGACAGCAAGTATGGTGGCACTTCAAATGACAGCACTTAAATCCGGCAAAGACTATAATTCAAAACCTCTGTAACAACCTAAAAGCTCTTCACTAGTACTTATCCAGTAGTAGGTGACTAGTTAGTAGCAGTTATGTGGTGAGAACACTTTTCCTAATGAGGATGCACTTTGTTAATGCAGGACAGCTGCCACAGGCAACTTACACTTCAAAGCTGGCACTTGTCTGAGCAATCTTTTGATGTGGCTTATTCTGATTACCTCGAAATCATTTTGGGAAAGGTTCGTACGTAACTAAAAAAATCCCAGCATGAAAATGAGCATCCCACAGAAATATGAATGTGTCTAATTGAATCACTTCAGGTTCACAGGGCAGATCAGGTCCATGTTTCTTTTCTTGATTTTGTAAAGCCTCGGTTTTCTTGGATAAATTACATAAGAATTCAGGAGGGAGGGAAAGTGGAATTCACACTGAAACACAGTAAAAGTAATTTTTGTGTCCTGATTGTAGGCCATAGCTGGTACAGGAGCTGCTACTCACTCACAGAAGCTCAGAGAGACATCATCTTGGATAAGCCTGCACCAGTTTGCTTTGTTTACACTGAAAATGAGTTTTCATTCCTACAGTACATGTCTGCTTCTCCGTTACCCAGAGATTCTTCTGCTGAGACTGCAGGAATAGAGAACGCTCCCCCATGTTTTTTGGAAAAGGGAAAGTTATTCCTTCCCTGCTTATATAATAAATTAAACACTTCCCCTTAATCTTTAACTAAATTAAGGATTGAATTTTTCCACAGTGGTAAATCCTGGTTTAATTCTGCTCCCAATGGAGAATTTTATTTCATTGTATTTATGCAAGACTCTGTATAAATAAATACCTTTAAAATCCAACCCCCTGATTAGTGTAGACATGAAAAGAAATGTGGAAAATGGAAGTAATCTACGGAAGCAATACATGTGAATCAATAATGCCAACCAATATTTATGGATCTCATTATCTCAACATGTGCTTTTTAGGATCATTTTAAATTACTATTAAAAATAGCCATAGGTACTTTTAAAATTAATATTTTAGAGTTCAAATGGTCTGCATTTGCCAGTGGAGATATACATTTGTTATATAGCTCTATTAGCTAAAGGAACAAAAGGTATTGCAGAATATTATAGTGTTCTGTGGAAGAAGAGATTTCTAAAGGAAAATGATTCAATTATTCTAAATCAATTATAACAGGAACAGCTACATAGCTCTATATCAATCTCCTTATGTGTTTCTAATTCTTTTGTCTATTGCCTGCAGATAGTTTAATAGGAATTAACATAGAACAATATATCCCACTGGGAACAAGATTCAAATAGTTTGGACCATTTTTCTTGCTCTAAATTCTCTTTTCTATCGTGTGAGGTAAAAGTCAAACCCATCACTTTGTGCGAGTGACAGCAGTAACAAATAAGTCTGAAACACAGCTTCAGGCTTCTCCATAAGGGATGGTTGGATTGGCCACGTACATCACCACTACGTGGGAGAAACCTGCATGCAGTAC